TAACCCTGATAGTAATGCTTACCCGTGGCCACGCCCCCTCCCCCAGCAACCATTGACGGCCAATATCTCCTCGGCTAGGGGTCGGCCTCGTGAGCCCCTCCCCCGTCTCTTTCCTTTCTGGTCATTTAGTGCAGATTTCTGCCCATTTTTTCCTGTGGACCGTTTTAGAAACAGCGTGCCTTGCACAGATAAAAGAAAGCTCAGTTAAATCCATACAGTCTTGAGACAGTAATGGCAGGACATTTTCGCTTCTGACTTAATCTGGAACATTCTGTGTGTGCTCACGCTTCTCATGGAAGATTAAAAAGCAGAGGAGAAACATCCCGAGCATGGAAATGGCCTATAATTGCTGACATTGGTTACACATTTGCCATTGTTCTAGAACATTCCCACGGTGTCTGCAGGCTCCCGCCCCTCACTTCACCCCTACTTTGTTTCTTGATCTGTCGGCCCCGAAGCTCCCCTGGCTTTTCATGCTTTTACCAGAATACATAATAAGCTCAAGCTGGACTTTTCAAAACTGACCTTTGAAGGCAAAACCCGTCCTAACCAGACTGATGTTATGCACCAAGTGGTGACAGGATGTGACATCTTGCAAGATCTGCAGCAGAGGTCATTCAAGGGGCAGCGAGAGGGAGGTGTGACTTTCACACATAACACAGGTGTGTGGCTTTGTGGCTTTTCCGTTTTCATGTGTGTGTTTTAATGTAGGAAGATTTTTTTCAATTTTCATGTGTATGAGTGTTTTGTCTGCCTGTATGTCCGTGCACCACAACCATGCAGTGCCTTTGGAGGCCAGAAGAGGGCGGCAGATGCCCTGGGACTGGAGTTACAGATGGTTTTGAGCCATGTGGGTGCTGGAAACCCAAACCAGGTCCTCTGGAAGAATCACCAGTGCTCTTAACTGTTGAGCCATCTCTCCAGCCCTGGGAGATATTTTTTTTTTTGGTTTTTCGAGACAGGGTTTCTCTGTGTAGCTTTGCGCCTTTCCTGGAACTCGCTTTGGAGACCAGGCTGGCCTCGAACTCACAGAGATCCACCTGCCTCTGCCCTGGGAGATATTTTTTAAAGACATATGGCAGCAGATAGTTATGGCCCATGCCTTTAATCCCAGCACTGGGGAGGCAGAGGCAGGTGGATCTCTGTGAGTTCGAGGCCAGCCTGGTCTACAGAGTGAGTTCCAGGACAGCCAGGGCTACACAGAGAAACCCTGTGTCAAAAACCAGATGAAAAAAAAAAAAAAAAAGACATACAGTTCCAACTGGCATGAAATCCCAGACACTCTGGAGGCTGAGGGAAGAGACCCACAGTTCAACTTTGGCAACAGAGAGACCTGGGTATAGAGCTCAGAGGTACGGCACCAAGATCCAGGTATGGTCCAGGATCCAAGAGTGAGGGACTGGAGGAGGCGTTCAGCAGCAGCGCACCTGCCTGGTATCCAGGAGATCCTGCATCCAATCCCAGTACCTCAAAATACATAAAATAAATGAATAAAAATGTGTGGGCGTGGTCCAGCTAGTCATGGTGATCTCAGCACTCAGGGAGCTGAAGCAGGAGGATCCTAAGTACAAAATCAGCCTGAACTACATAATGATACTGGTGTGCGTGTGTGTGTGTGTGTGTGTGTGTGTGTGTGTGTGTGTGTGTGTGTGTGTGATGACATTTTAAAGAAAAAATAAGTGTCTCTCCAGCCAGGGCCATTCACTCATGTAAGTGACATCTGTTGAAGTTTGACATTTGGAGGCTGGAGAAATAGCAGTTATGAGTACTTATTCGGCTCCCAACACCCACATGGTAGCTCACAACCATCCACAACCCCAGTTCTCAGAGATCTGAGGCCCTTTCAACCATATATGCATACATGCAAGCAAAACATTAAATAAAACATACATAAAATAATATACACATAAGATGAACCTTAAATTTTTTAAGTTCAACATTAGAAGACATTTTTTTCATGTTAAACACCTTAAGAATTGCAAAAAAAATTTAAATAGAGAATTAAATTTTTTTAATTTCAGTGGGTATGGTGGTTTGAAAGAGAATGACCCCCATAGACTCATATATTTGAACATTTGGTCCCCTGTTAGTGGAACTGTTTAGAAAGGATTAGGAGGTGTGGCCTTGTTGGAGGAGGTGTGTCACTGGGGGTGGGCTTTGAGGTTTCAAAAGCCCTTTTCAGCCCAGTCTCTCTCCCTCCCTCTCTCTCCCCTTCTCCCTCTCCCTCTGTCCCTCTTGGTCTCCTGCCTGCAGATGTGAGCTCTCAGCTACTGCTCCAGCTCCATGTCTGCCTGTGTGCTGCCACACTGCCCCCTGTGTGTGTTAATGGGAGGTGGGGCGGTGTAAAAAGTGAAAGTGGCCGGGCGGTGGTGGCGCACGCCTTTAATCCCAGCACTCAGGAGGCAGAGCCAGGTGGATCTCTGTGAGTTCGAGGCCAGCCTGGGCTACCAAGTGAGTCCCAGGAAAGGCGCAAAGCTACACAGAGAAACCCTGTCTCGGAAAACCAAAAAAAAAAAAAAAAAAAAAGTGAAAGTGCTGCTGGACTTCTCCCTAACATCTCCACTAGAGTTTAGACATTTCTTTGTCTCCCTGGTATGGAGCTATTTACAAAGATTAAACTTCATCATCAGGAATGGGGCTGTAGCTGAGTGGGTAGAGCGCTTGCTTAGCATGTGTGAAGCCCTGGGTCAATCCCTAGCCCTGCATAAACCAGCATTTACCATCTCAACATTTAGGAGGTGGAGGCAGGAGGATCTGAAGTTCTAGGTTATTCTAGGCTGCGCATTAAGTTTAAGGTCAGCCTGGGCTATGTGAGATCCTGTCTCAAAAGGTATGGAGGGTGGGATATTGACTAGGGGGATAGCCCAGTACTAAAAACACTTGTCTAACATGTAGGGGGTCCCAGGTTCAAGACTCCAACACTGAAAAATATAAGCTGGTCATGGTTTACACCTATAATCCTCACACTTGGGAGCCTGAGGCAGGAGAATCACAATGAGTTCAAGGCCAGCCTGGGCTACAGAATGAGATAACAGAAGCTGATTCTGTGCCCCACCCTGCCCATTTTCTTCACCTTTTGCTATTTCTCAGCACACTAGCAGCCCAGTTCCAGAAGGCTGGGACTCCCACATCGTCCCTGGCTGTCAGACAGATGCCCAGCAGCTCTGGCTGGCAGGTAGTTTAGCTCTGAGTTGCCTTCATGACATCCCCGGTATCTGGGAACCATCCGTGGACCTCCCCACCAAGGGGATTTTGTTTGTTTGTTTGTTTACTAGTGGGCTTACCAGACCCCAACAGATGACCTGAGAGTTCTCTGAAGACCTTGCCCAAAAACGGCTTTTAAGTCAGCCGACAGATCGCATTCAGTGCTGCAGATCAGCTGCTGTCCAGCCCAGATCTCTACGCCCTTTGACACACTCCATTTGTGTTTTCACAGAAGCTCAACCTGACCCTCTGGACCCCACTGCCTGTAGTCATAGTCATCCATCTACAGCTCTCCCTCTGTGCGCATCACAATCTCCGGAGGGTCTTAAAGACGCCGATTCTGGGCATCATTCGGTAAAGTACTTACCACACAGGTGTGAGGACCTGAGTTCGAATCTCCAGCACCCACATAAGAATCCAGGCACAGCAAGCCCGATGGTGGTGGCGCACACCTCTAATCCTCTAATTCCAGTACTCGGGAGGCAGAGTGGATCTTTGTAGAGTTCAAGGCCAGCCTGGTCTACAGTGCAGGTTCTAGGATACCAAGAGCTACACAGTAAAACCTCGTCTTGAAAAAAACAAAACAAAAACAAACAAACAAGAAAACAAGTACATCAGTGCTGGGGCCGGGTGGGGGGGGGGCAGACACAGGAGGGTCCCCAGAGCTCACTGGAGAGCCAGCCTCACCCAATCAGTGAACTTCAGGTTCAGTGAGAGACCTTATCCCAAAAAATAAGGTGGAGGGCATTTGGGGAAAACATCTAACATCAACCTCTGGCCCTACATGCGTTCACGCGTGCGCCCCCCCCCACACATGCACACACACCATGGCACAGGTACATACGATAAGACTGTTTAAAGCTCTCTGCCTCGGCCAAGGGGTGGGAGGAAAGAAAGAGTTCTCAGTGTCCAGACACTTTTATAACAAACCGGCATCAACCAGGCTTGATGATACAGTTCTATAATTCATTCCATCTACTTGGGAGACTGAAGCAGGAAGGTAACAAGTTCAAAGCCAGCCTGAGCTACACTGAGCCCATTGAAACCTAGCTTGAAAATAAGACATAAAAAGAGGGCTGGTTTTGTGGCTCAGTGGTAGAGCCCCTGCCTAGAATCCCCCAGTGAGGGGCTGAGGGTGTGGCTCAGTGGTAGAGCCCCTGCCTGGAATCCCCCAGTGAGGGGCTGGGGGTATGGCTCAGTGGTAGAGCCCCTGCCTAGAATCCCCCAGTGAGGGGCTGGGGGTGTGTCTCAGTGGTGGAGCCCCTGCCTAGAATCCCCCAGTGAGGGGCTGGGGTGGTGGCTCAGTGGTAGAGCCCCTGCCTAGAATCCCCCAGAGAGGGGCTGGGGGTGTGGCTCAGTGGTAGAGCCCCTGCCTAGAGTCCCCCAGTGAGGGGCTGGGGTGTGGCTCAGTGGTTGGGCATTTGCCTAGAATCCCCCAGAGAGGGGCTGGGGCATAGATCAGTGGTAGAGCCCCTGCCTAGAATCCCTCAGTGAGGGGCTGGGGGCATGGCTCAGCAGTGTGGTGATTACCTAGTATGTGTGAGGACCTAGGTCCAATCTCTAGCATCAAAAACATAACTAGTACTTTCAGATCACTCAATATCATTATTACCTATCCTAGAAACCATAAGGTTACTGGGATGACAGCCCACAACCACCAAGAACAAACAGCTTCTTCTCTGATGGGAAATTAACAACAGTCACGTGAATCTCTTACTGCTTAGCAGGGAACATCTTCCTCCAAGCCACATGACATGCTCCATGCACTCTCCTCCAACAAAACAGACTACGCAGACTTCATTGGCACAACTTTATTTTACACTCACACTTACATTCATTGATCGTTTTATCAATGCGCTACTTCAACGAAGGTGTCTCAAGGACTATCACAAGAAATGGGTCTGGCGGTTGAGTGATTCACAGACGAATATCTAACAACTGATCACAGTTTCTGGATCGAGAAAACGGAAGCGGAGGTTGGAGGTTGGAGGTGGGGAAAAGCATGAAAACTCACGATGGCTGGAAATCCCGCTGTGTACCACGTTAGCCCCGATAAGCAAGTGACCCCCCGCTGTCAATCACAGCTGAACAGGGAAGGCAAACACACAGAGACTCACCTTGGATATTGTGTTTCAGGACATGCAGGGGGCCAGATCCCACCTTTGTTCTCAAAGTTCCCATCTACAAGAAACTTAATGAGAGAGCTGGGGGAGGGGCACCTCAGTTAGGGACGCAGACAAACAAGCGGACATGCTTGTAGCACAGGCTTGCAGCCCAGTGCTAGGGAGGCCGACAGCAGGGTCCCTGGGTCCACTGCCAGGCCAGCCTCCTAGCCGGTTTCAGGACCGTTAGAGACTGTGTCTCATAAACCGGCAGCCGGTGACTGAGGAGGACTCCCAAGGAAATGCTCTGCCTCCACATACACATGTGCACATAGGCACAGACGAACACACACACACACACAAATACAATTATATACAAAGTACAATGCTGATGACTAGTTACAGTTATCCTATATACACAAAGTTATCCTATATACACAAAGTACTGGAATATTCCAGTACTTTGGATTACGACACTGTTGAGTTGCCATTTTTTTCTACACTTTAAAAAAATTGTTTTTATTTACTTATTTATTTTGAGGCAGGGCCTTACTCTGTAGCCCAAGCTGGCCTTGAACTCATAGCAATTCTCCTACCTCAGCCTCCACATACGGGGATTACGGCCACATGTCACCATACCTGCTGCTTTCTAGTGTTAGAATTTTTTATTACATTTATTTACGGGGGGGGGGGGATGCTCGTGCCCCGGAATGATTGTGGAGGCCAGAGGGGGATTCTCAGGAGTTGTTTCTCTGTTTCCACCATCTGGGTGCTGGGGATCGAACCCAGGGACTCAGGCTTGGTGGCAAGCCCCCTTTCTCACTGAGCCCTATCTCCAGCCTCTCTTTCATGCTTCTGCGTGTGAAAAAGAGAGTCCTCAGGCTGTCGCTTAGAAACCACAGATGGTGGAGATGCCACCCTCTCTCCTTCCTGTGGACACAGAACAGGACGTGGCAGCATGGTCGGATCTAACGGCACCAAATTCAGAGGCCAGAAATCAGGCCATTTTAAAGAAGCTTTTGAAAAGAGAGAGATTTCTGCCTTCTTACTATAATGTGAGCAGCTGACTTAAGCCTCAAAGACAGGGGTCTCTCAGAGGTCCACACGATTAGAGCTAAAAACTGATTTTTCTCTACCAATCCTCTCCTCTCCTCTCTCCTCTCCTCTCCTCGGGCTTCCTGAGAGGGCATCACCCCACTTTAGAACCAAAGTGCCGTTTTTATTCCATTTTGGTTTTTATTGGCTCTGGAGATGGAACCCGGGGCCTTGCATACGCTGGGCAGTTCTGCCACGGAGCCCCACCCCAGCCCCTCGCTGGGGGATTCCCAGCCCGGAAGCTCACCATTTCAGAGAGGTTAGCTGGCCAGCAAGTCCTTGGGATCGACCTGTCTCTACCACCTGACGCTGGTGTTACAGGCACGGGCAGCCATCCCTGGCCCTTTTACATGAGTCCTAAGGATTAGAACCCGGGTCCTTGTGTTTGTACCGCAAACTTTCTTACCCCCCGAGCCAACTCCCCCTGCCCTCGGTTTTCTTTATTAAAGACTCTGAAATCTGAAGGGCTCAAGGGCAAGCAGACATTTGTTTTTTTGTTTTTCCAGAACTAATTCTTGGGACCTAGCCAACTTCCAGTTAGGTTGCTGGAGGAGGGAAATTGAAGAACGCCCAGGAAGCAGGCTTCGAAAAGCCAGGCCCGACTTACCAAACGCTCGCGGCGCAAGCGGCAAAACGGGCCACCCTGCCCTTCTGGACCTCAGGCTCTGCAGCCGGGCTGGGCCTCCAGAGGAAAAGGCAGGGGGTAGAGGAGGATAAAGGCTGAATGTGGCTGAGCATAACCGTGAGCTCCCTCGCGGGCAACGGGAAAAGAATGTTCTAGAATTTTCCGAAGCTACTTATCGCCTCTTCTGCCTTTGAGGGTGAGCAGAAGAGAAAAAAAAGCTCCAACTGAGGAAAAGACACAAAGAGAGTACCTCCCCCCAACAATCCCCACCTCCTAAGGCCTTACATCCGATCCCTGTGTGGGTCAGACCCCCACACACACACATAACAGGCCCCCAGTAGTCCAAAGTCATGTTTCATTCAACCGCAAAGAAAAAGTTTGCTCCCAACTCGAAACTTCTTCCTTGATGCTCTTCAGTCTCTTCGGGTACAGGGTTCCCCAAATCATAGCTGTCTGGAATCTGCGGATAAATCAGAACATCCCAAGAAGGGAAGCAGGGACAGGCATAATTAGATATGCCTGGGAACCTCCTGAGTCCACCCCCAACCCAGCGGGACCCTAGAAACATCAGCCTTAGAGCCCTGCACCATAACAAACAAGAGAACCTCAAATCATAAATTTTTGATTTGTGATCAAAATCTGGTCATAGGCTGATCTCAGACTCTCGACCCTCACCAGTCTCCCAAAAGTGTTGGGATTACAAGTATGTGCCACAATGTCCTGCCCCCCCAAACCATTATATTGCTATGGAGGAAGAAAGTGAGTGAGTGAGGTAGTCATGGATTGGCAGTGACCCCGATGATTCCCAACAAGGGCTGGAGGAGGGAGGCCCAGGCTCTCACTCACCAACCCTCACCTGGAAGGGTGTCAATCACTTGCCCCAATGCACTGGGGTCCTGGGAGGCCCTCTGCACCACCCTCCCCCACTGCATGCCCACTTTAACCAACCAAGTCATTTCTGTGTCCACTCACCTTTGGAGACCCGAGGGAAGCCTCCTGGCTTCATCTTGCCAGCCCTGGATGTTGAGGGCGATGCATCATCAGGCTGGGGCCCCTGAGGAGCCCTTGGAGCCGACATGGCCCTCCTAGAGCCAGACCCTTTCTTGGGAATCCCCGGTTTGTTCTTGGTGGCTTCGGAATCAACCAGAACATAAGAAAGAGAGCCCAAGCTCATCTTCTTCTTCTTCCTCATGGGAGCGGGGATCTTGTTTGAGGGCCAGGTCACCACTTTCTTCTTTGGGGGGCTCTCAGGACCACCATCTTGATCTGAGTCCTCCAGATTCGCAGGGCTCTCTGCTCCGGGCAGCGTACTCTGAGGAAGATCACTGGGATCCTCCTTCCAGACTCTTTTCTTCTTCCAAACGGTCTCCTCCTGCTTCACAATGGGTTTTTTGTTGCTCTTGGCTGACTCTGGGGTCTCTGGGCTTTGGGCAGCCTCAGCTTCAGCACCTACCCTATTGTTATGATTGTTACCTTGGGGTTTTCTCCAGAATATTGGCTCTTGCTTAGGATTTTTTTTCTGCTTCCTTCTCCTGGAGCGAATCTTACCTCCAGCCCTGCGGACTAGAGGTTTTGGAGGGTCACCACGGTCCTCCATCTTGCAAGCCGATCCCACCTCTACGCCCAGCCCGGGTTCCTTCTTTACCCTCCTCATCGCTGTTGAAGCCCTAGCCGCCATCAACTCAGCCTCGGTAGCCTCCTCAGTAGCCCTAGCTTCCTCCTCCCTGCCGCGGATTTCAGAGTCCTTGCAGAAGATAACCTGAACCACCGCGCCCAGGAGCAGCCCCACGGCTTCTGCCCAGTTCGGTGGAGGCTGGTTTGGGTTCGGGAATGCTGGGTTAAGCCTCAAGAGGCGCACCACATCCTCCCAAGTGCGCCCTTCAGCATCCAGGAATTCATTCAGATTTTTTAAAAACTCAGCGTCCTGGGTGGGGTCTCTACAGACCACTTTCCAGACACCGCCCCTCCCCGGGAACTCGCGGGGTATGGAGCTCAGATTCACACCCTCGCTAACCTCAATGAGCGCAGCCTTGACGTTCTCTTGCCGCAAGAAAATTTTGTTGAGCACGCGGTATGTGCCCAGTGGCAAGAGGATCCCATTCAAGGTCTCCTCAATTTCTGCATGGCCACAGTGCTCAGGGATGCCAGTGACCAACAGGGACCGATGGATGTCCAGTCCCATACCCTTGCACCAGTCTTCCAGCAGGCTCATGGCCCTGGGCTCCGACATCTTCCAGCTCGACCTGTGATTGGAACAAAGAATCTATGAGGGCGGGGGTGGAGGTGAGGTGGTCCCCAAATATGAATCCATCAAGGTGACAAGACAGTGAGGTCAGATTCCATGGAAGATGGACAGATCTCCCCTGTGTCCTCCACCGCTGGCCTTGCAAGAGGCCTCGCCCCCCCCATCCCCCCCACCCCATCCCCCCGAGCAAGATCCTCCTCCCTAGCCTGGGCCCTGGTGCTCACGTGTTCTGAATATGGTGCAATCGGCCCTAGCCCCTTCCTGGAGCCTGGAGCTCCGAAGGTTCACAGGGATGTTCTGGCCACCCCCGCTTCTGACAGATCAGGCAGGCCAAGGGCAGGAGGCTGGAGCGCAGTTGGCTTCCTGAGCAAAGGCCCCGGGCCCAGAGAGCCAGGAAGTTGTGCCTATGCTCGGCTCCAGCTCCAGTCTGTACGGGTCACACGGCCTTGATCCCCTGAGCTCCACGGAGCTGGCGTTGAAGAGCGCTCATGCGCAGTTGGTTCCTGCACAAGTTCCTCAGATCTGCATCCCCAGTGGTCTCCATGGCAACCGGCCACTGGTTGCTAAGCATCATTGCGGCCTGCTATGGGCTCCGCAGTTGGGCTTAATAGGAAAAATGGACAAAAGATGTGACCACTGCGCTTGTTTAGATGTCTATTGGTGGTGGTGTGGAGGGGGGGGGCGGCGGAGGGGGGGGGGGGGGGGGGGGGGGGGGGGGTAGTCGTAGCTCTAAACTTTCCAGGGCTATTGTCTCTACCACGACTATTTTTTTTCTCTTTAAATTTACACACACACACACACACACACACACACACACACACACACACACACGTCTCACCCAAGGGTTCTACTGTGTAGCCCTGGCTGTCTTGGAACTTTCTGTGTAGACTAATCTAGCCTAGAACTCACAGAGATCCACCTGCCTCCACTTCCTGGGTGCTGGGATGAAAGGCGTGCGCCACCATGTCTGGCAACTTTTGTAATTTTTAAGCTGTTAGTTTGGAGTTGTTGTTTTGTTTTGTTTTTTCTAGAATACAAAGTAATTGGGGCTGGAAAGATAGCTCAGAGGTTAGCACTGGTGGCTCTTGCAGAGAACCCAGGTTCAATTCCCAGCAGCCAGCCACATCTGTAATTACAGTTCTGGGAACCTGACGCCATCTTCTGGCCTCTGTGGGCACTGCATGCATGTGGGGCACAGATATACATATAGGCAAAACACCCACACATGTAAGATAAATAAATAAACCTCTAGGTACAGCCCAGCAGCAGAACATTTTTGAACCCCTGGAGTGAATCCCAGCACTGTTGAATAAATAAATAAAAAAGAAAGCTATTTACCTTATGAGGTTCGCTAAAGTTGAGCTGGCTTAGATGAAAGCTTCCGTGACCAGGGTTAGGTTTTAGGTTTGAATTTCACCAACTGTATATCACAAGTAACTACAAAGAAGGAACTTCTGTGACCCCAGAAACTGAGAGTCACCCCATAGACTAAGAATGATTGGAAGATTTGGTCATCGAAAATGAAACTGAAGGCTGGGCAGTGGTGGCGCACGCCTTTAATCCCAGCACTCAGGAGACAGAGGCAGGTGGATCTCTGTGAGTTCGAGGCCAGCCTGGTCTACAGAGCAAGTTCCAGGACAGCCAGGGCTGCATGGTAAAAACCTGTCTCTAAATAAGAAAAGTGGAGGACAATCAAGGAAGGTACCGACATTGACCTCGGCCACCACAACCACACCCCCCTCCAAAGACACAGACACAAAAATGAAGCATTTGAATTATACCGTTCCAATGAAATGTGGGCTTAGAGAAAGGCATATTTCTAAAACTCTGCATTTCAAATTTATTTCAATTGTGAGTGTGTGTGTGTGTGTGTGTGTATGTGTGTGTGTGTATGAGTGTGCAAGTGCATGTGCCAAGGCACACGTGTGGAGGTCAGAAGACAGCTTGCTGGAGTCAGTTCTCCCCTTCCATGTGGACTGGACTCAGGTCCCAGGCTTGTGCAGAGAACACTTTTACCCATGAGCCATCTCACCATCCCAAAATCTGTGCCACAAAATCTGTCATTCTGTGTGGTTGTGATATGTAAAACTAAGAAAATGAGGGAGCTGAAGAGATGGCTCAGCGGTTAAGAGCACTGGCTGCTCTTCCAGAGGTCCTGAGTTCAATTCCCAGCAACCACATGCTGGCTCACAGCCATCTGTAATGAGATCTGGTGCCCTCTTCTGGTATGCAGGCATACTTGGAGGCAGAATGTTGTATACATAATAAATAATAAATCTTTAAAAAAAGAAAAAGAAAATGAATAACTTAAGATTCAATAAAAATGAGATACAAAAAATTTTAAGTAAGTGAAAAATGAACCAATATTATGTACAGACACACACACACCGAGAGAGGCTTATGATGAAATCCAAAATACTTAACAGGAAAAAAATTAAAATTTAATATGTGTTTATGGCCAGATATGGTGGCTCACGCCTTTAGTCCCAGCACTCAGAAGGCAGAGGCAGGTGAATCTCTGTGAGTTCCAGGCCAGCCAATCTGTTGAGACCAGAGTGACTGTCCAATGGATAAAAGCACTGGCTGCTCTTGACTAGGACCCAGGTTCTATTCCCAGCACTCATAGAGTAATTCACAACCATCTGTAAGTCCAGCTCCAAGGACTATAACTCCCTCTTTTGGTCACCTTGGTTACCAGCACACACATGGTGCACATATTTGCATGAAGGTAAACAATTATACACATAAACTAAAAATAAAAATTGTGACTGTAGGATCTCTGAGTTTGAGGTCAGCCTGGTCTACATAGTGAGTTCTAGGACAGCCAGGACTGCACAGAGAAACCCTGTCTTGATAAAAATAAAAAAGGGAAGGATGTAAATGTAAATAAATTAAATTAAAATATATTTATAAAGCCAGGTATAATAGTACATGCTTGTTATCCCAGCAGAAGCATCCCAGAAAGTTCAAGGATTGTCAGAGCTGCAAATAAAGGACCAGGCCAATCAGGGTTACATAACAACTTTGTCTCAAAAATTAATTAATTATACACCTGTTAATCCCTTGGCAGGTGGATTAAGAGTTCAAGGTCAGCTGGGCAGTGGTGGCAAATGCTTTTAATCCCAGCAATCGGGAGGCAGAGCTAGGCAGATCTCTGTGAGTTCAAGGCCAGCCTGGTCTACAGAGAGAGATCCAGGACAGACACCAAAGCTACACAGAGAAACCCTATCTCAAAAAACCAAAAAAAATAAAAATAAAAAATGAGTTCAAGGTCATCCTTACATGCATTTCAAATTTGAGGCCAGCCTAGGCTTTGTGAAAATCTAAATAAAAAGATAGATAGATAACTAAATCATGTTCATGTAGATGAATATATAAATATATAGAGAAACTTTATGTGTGTGTATGTGTTTATATACACATATGTGCTTAGTGAAGTCAATTGCCTGCCCAATCTCACATTAAGGAGGCACCCTGATTGCCAGAGGGTTTAAAAATAGGTCTAACGCATCCCTAATAGAAGTCTTACTGTGGTTTCCATGGCAACACAGGTCCTGCGGTTTCCATGACAACGTTTTTGCAGAGGGGGGGGGTTTCCAAGACAACACATCTCTGCAACCTTTCCACCCATCACGGCTTTGTGTTTAGGGTTATTTTTCCATCTTCTTCCTCTCCCTTAGCCTTTCAGTTTCTTTTGTGTTTGGTTTTTGTTTTTGCTTGAAGACGAGATGTCATGTTGCCCGGGCTGGCCTCATACTTGTTATTTAGCCAAGGATGGCCTTGAGCTCCTGACCCTCCTGACTCTGACTCCCCAATGCTATTGCAGATGTGAGTCAGCATGCCCGGCCCCATTTCTTTTGCTTTGAGACGTGCTCTGACTGGGTGGTGCAGGCTGGCTTTGAATTCAAGACCCTCCTGAGTCAGTGCCCTGAGTCCTGGGATGGCAGGCACCTGCCACCATACCTGGCTAGACTTTGGGATTCTCTTTTATCCTACTGTGTATTTTAGTTGAGAACCCGTCAAATTTCTAGAAATACCAACTCCAGAGAAGGTTTAGGGCTTGTCTTAGTTTGTTTTCTGTTGCTGTGATAAACACCATGACCAAAAACCAGCTTAAGGAGCAAGGGTTTATTTCAGTTTACAGCTGTAGTCTCTTGAGAAAAGTTGGGGCAAGAACCTAGAGCAGAGACGACTCAGGGGGAGTCCATGGAGGAACACGGCTTACTGACTTGCTCAGTTCGCTTTCTTATACACCCAGAACCATCAGCCCAGGGATGGCACCGCCCACAGTGGGCTGAGCCCTCCCATATCACTCATCAATCAAGAAAATGCCCTCCCCCACAGGCTTGCCTACAGCCAATCTGACAGCGTCATTTTCTCGGTCTAGGCTTCCTTTTCTCAAATGAACCTAGCGTGTGTCAACAGCAGCAATTAATAATCATAGTCATAATAAACAACACTCACCAGAACAGCCGTGGATGGCTTCCTCCTAGATTCACTTTTTCCAGTAGGTTGCACTAACCCACCCACCTAGGGGGTGGAGATGGTCAGTGGTCACCTATTAGTGTCCTCTATTCCGTCAGGGTTCCCCTCGCACTGAACGCTCTCCCACTCAACTTGATTCCTCCCAAGCCTGGAGTTCTCACCATCTTTCCACAGCTGCGATAAAACACTCTGACCAAGATCAACTTGGGGAGAGTCCTGCTTAGGGTTCCTATTGCTGCGATGACACACCACGCTCACGGCAATGTGGGGAGGGAAGGGTTTATTCGCCTTACACTTCAGCATCGCTGTTCATCACCAAAGGAAGTCAGGACAGGAACTCAAGCAGGACAGGAACCTAGAGGCAAGAGGGCAGCTGTTTCCTGGCTCACTCCTCTGGCTTGCTCAGCCCGCTTTCTTACAGAACGAGGACCAGCAGCCCAGCGATGGCACCACCCACCGTGGGCTGGATCCTCCTCCATTGATCTCCAATTGAGAAAATGCCTTACAGCTGGATCTCATGGAGGCATTTCCTCCACTCAGGCTCCTTCCTCTCCAATGACTCTAGCTTCTGTCAAGTTGACACACAAAACCAGCCAGTACAGGAAAAAAACCAGGGAAAGGGTTTATTTCATCTTACACTTCCAGGTCACAGCCCATCATTGAGGGAAGCCAGCAGAGAAACTCTCTCAGGAAACCAGAGGAACACGAAAGAACCCTGCCTTCTTGCTTGCTTTCTGGAACTATGCAGTCCAGTGTAGACCAGCCTGGCCTTGAACTCACAGAAGTCCACCTGCCCCTGCCTCAGGCTGGGATTAAAGGCATGCATGGCACCATGCCCATCATGATGGCACCGCCCACAGTGGGCTGGGCCTTCTCACATCAATCATCACAATACGCCCCCCCCAGGAACGCCCCCAGGCCAGTCTGATCTAGACAACCCCTCAACTGAGGTTCTCTTTTCCCAAGCGACTCTAGTTTGTGTCGTTAAAAATGGAGATTAACCAGCACACCTG